TTCTTACAGGCGCCAGTTAGCTTTAACACTGCTAGTTGATTGACATTCCAGTCATTGTGCTGATTGACCAACTGTACTGGCTAAGTCTGAACCGCGTATAAAACCACACCGTCGATAAAACAGTCCATCTCCAACTATTTTTTCGTTAGATCTTTATTTATTTCCTCCACGTTTTTTTAAATATGTATTTATAAACCTACGCATATCTATATATTTGTTTCTTTTATACTTATACATTCGTATCTCATTTAGTCCTGATGAAACAACCGATTGCATGTGTATTAAAGCCATTATGATTGCCGTCTCTCTTTCGATGCTGTTTTACCGACCTACATTTTGCAACAGTTAAGGCCTGTCACACCACTGGCTGGAGGCTCAGATAGCTCAAAAATGACGTCACAGTCAGATAAGATATATGGTAAAAGAAATCCGTTATTTCCATCACATATTTTACACGTTGGATCAGACAATTTACAATTTGGTGGGATAGGCCTTTAGTAATAAAATAATTTTAAATTGTGTTAAAACCAAAATATAAACTGCAACTTTGTACGCGTGATAATGACCTTTTTCTATCTCTTTTTAATGTCAAATTAACTTTGTATTTATAAAAAATGTTCTCTATGTGTTTTTTGTTATTTTTGACCGACTTCCCAAAAGAAGGAGGTACTCAAGTCATCTGTATGTTTTTTATGTTACGTCATAACTCCGCCGCTAGGACCGATTTTGATAATTCTTTTTTTATCCGAAAGGTAATGCTTGCAGAGTCCCATTTTTTTATTTGATTGTTTTTTAAGTGAAAATTATCGCCTAAGTCATAAAAGTTATAAGCCTTGTAATGTGATTATTATTTTTAAATTGGTTATGGAATTGGTTATGTTCGGAATTTGCAACTGTTATGTATTTAGATAACTAAATATATAATTAGAAATTCTGGCTATGATTGTCCAAAGGAAAGATTTTTATTCATTATTTACTTGTTACATATATTTAATATGTCGTTTTTAATTTTATTTTTAAAAACTTTGAACAAAAAACGGTAACGACAGTCAAAATAAGTTTCTCGAATAATTGTTATATTTGACAGTTTCTCTTTTTAATTTTATTTATATGTACAGGTTTTTTCTCTTAAATCATAGTTTACATCACTTTCTTATGTGTAAAGAAATTAGTTCCCTATTTCTCTGCATTTTTATTCCGATAAAACTTACCGTGAACTCCCAATGTCGAAAAAAATGTTTTTTTTTTTAATTCTCTTTGAAAACAAACAAAGTTTTCTTGCATTATTATGGACAATGGTAATTCACGGCTTTATAAATAAACAAATATATAAAATTAGAATCAACAATAAATTCAGATAGAAACCTTTTTTTAACGACTTGCAGAACTGTCACATCTTTATTTCATTTAAGAAGTGCACAGTTTAAAGTTTTCGAAGGAATTCGATATTTACTCTTCGATAATCATTAATATACGTTTAATGTTATTTCTATTATTTTGGTTGTGATCGATTTAAAAAGATTATTTTCATATTTCATTGATCGCAACCAAAAATGCGCGCCAAACTGTCAAAACGGAGTTAAATTGTAGAATTTTTAGGTTATATGTATATCAATGTAAAAAAAAAGTTCGTAATAGCGTTAATTATAAATAATGAAATGTAAAGATTGTATTTTTGTCAACAATAAAATGTATTTAACAAGTTTTGCTGTTGTTTTGTTGTTTGTTGCCAATATTGCCAAAAACAGTAAATATGGAACAGGACTTGGGAATAAATTTATTAATAGATAAAAAAAATCACATTATCTCCGGAAATAAAACTAAATGTATTAACAAATAACATTTATTTATCATAAAAATACAACAATTTATTTACTTAAAGTAACATTTTTTACTTTGACACAACTAACATATACAAAACCATTTATTATATTTTTTGTTCTTTAAGACATAAAAGTTTATTATAAAAATAATTTACCCGTATCACGCATTTTGACATAAAATCCCTAATAAATTACACAATGTAAATATGTACAAAAATGCAAAATTTCATTTAATGTTTAACACAAGCAAATATTACATATTCATCTGTACTTACATAGATATATAATCTATAGATGTGTCAAGCAAGTTTGACGTTTACTCGAAAATCAATTTCCAAACGATTTTAATAAAAATGACAACACTAAACCCTAAGAAAAGCCCTCCAAATTTTTTTCCTCACTCTTGACTTAACCAGTATCTATAGATTATACATCTACATAACCTTAAATGCGAAAAACAAAAGCACTTAAACATAACCTAAAACAAACTTTACGCTACCTCAAAAAATTCTCAACCAATCTTTTAGAATCATCATAAACACCAAAATAAACAAAACCGCCTAAAGTAAACGCCATCATTCGAGGCAGAAATCCCGCGTAAAGACCGCGGAATCCGGACTCAGTGTAAATGCTGGTCAGGACCGGACGTATCCGCAACTTTCTGGTCTCCGCGTAATCTTCGGCAAGCATTATACGAGTCTTTGCGAGATCTAAAGGTGTTGTCACCGCGGCTGTAAAACCGCCCGCTATCGAACCGCAAAGAGCACTCTGGTAAAGAAAAAAATCCATAAACAATATAAAAAAGCAATAAACTTTCAATTAAGACATTCTAGAGAAAAATATGAACCAAATGACACCTCATTTGTTAAAATCGGTCAAGTTTAGAATACAAGTAAATGTCTCTGAGTGCGACAGTAACTAAAACTGACCATTTAAGTGTGAATTAGTAAATGCAGTAATAAAATATTTCTTACAATTACCTTTAAACTGCTAAGTTTTTAAATTAATTAGGTAGTTGTTCCTGCTAGTCCCCTTGGAATTAAAAAAAAAACAAAAGCAAGTAGCCTATGTTATTTTTCACAGACTATCCTCTATGTCTATGCCAAATTTCATCGAGATCCGTTCAGACGTTTAGGCTACAAACTCTAACAAACATCCATCTAAACTTTAGCATTTATGATATTAGTACACATGGTCGAATTACGAACTTTAAAATATTACAATAAGTAAAAAAAAAATAAACATTTATCACTAACCTGGAATCCAGTAATTTCTCCATTATTCCGATCCTTAACCATTGTCTTCAATAACTCCCAAATCGGTAACTCAATCAGACTGAATGGAATATCTCTCGCTACTGTCGAAAAGAAACCTCTGTACAGACCATTCCTGAATCCATCTGCTTTGTACGCTTTCATTAATATGGATATAGCACTTATTTTCTTCAAACCTACGTAAGTTTGTTTCCTTTGCTTTGCTATTTCTGTCGGTACTCTTATAACACATGCTAGCTGAAACAAAAGATTATGGGAAATTTCTTTTATATGGCAACTAAGTAGCAATCACCAACTTGGATTTGCTGAAACAGCGAAGCGACTTGTAAGAGTAACCTCAAATAACTAGACCTATATTGAAAGACTCTTTCAAAAAACATAATTATTACATAACATAATTTACTACATATACATGACGATTGTTGGGTTTTTTCGATACAAATGTTTTTTACAAACTTTACCCTTAATTCAATAGTGTCCAGAGTGAAAAACAACAAATTTAAAAAATCTACTGAACTAGTTAAAAAAATACGTGAGATTTTGACTTTAGTGTGTTAGTAACATATAATATTTTTTTGCTACAAAAAACTCCGTCGATTTAAGGGTTAAACCATTCCATCCATATGATACACTATTTAAAAAAAACATGAAGTATTTATATACTTACCAACTCACCAACACTGGCAGCAAACATATGAACCAAAGGTGCATACTGCGGCAACACTAACGGTTGGAGCACATTCTTAGTTGCTTCATAACTCACAAAGAACAAAGCTGTTGTAGGCATAGATGTAGCTGCTACTGTCGCTAAGCCTGGAAATTTGATCATTGTGATTAGAATTATAGATAACTAGCTGTTGCTCGTTACTTCATCTGCATGAAATTAAAAAATATAGCCGATATTCCCCACTGATAACATAGCTTTTTAATGGTGAAAGATTTTTGAATTTGGCCCAGTAGTTTTTGAGTTATTTCAATACATACAAGAATACAAATCTTTCTCCTTAGAATGTCAGTGTAGACTAGCGACCCAAACCTTCATACAGGTCCAAGATCACACTAGAAAGGGTGCTAGTATCAGTACTGTATATGTTACCTTTATACACTCCTCTAAAGCCTCCTGCCTTCTGGAAGCCCTGCTCACTCTGCAAGCGAGTCTTCAATGTGTCTAAAGGATATAATGTCAAATCTACTGATATACCCGCTAATGCACCACCCTGAATAAAAAAAACATATATTAATAACTAACTGTTGCCTGCGACTACGTCCGCGCAATATTAGGATAAAAGTAGCCTATCATATGCCCATCTGTCGGCTACTGATCAGTAAAAGTCCAGTCGAAATTTGCCCAGCCATTTCAGAGATTACTCAGAGCAAATGCGGCTTGTGGAAAGACAGACAGATAAAACAATTTTAAATGCGTTTTTCGTTATCAGAAACGCAAATACACCATCTTCCTGAAATCTGGATTTTTTTTTATATTACAAACAGACACTCCATTTTATTACATGTATAGATAATGAACTATTTGACGGAATTTCATCAAATACTCACGATTCACATCTTACTCAAATTCTATCAAAAACGAATCTAAAAAAATCATTAAACATTTCTTAGTTATTTAATTCCTATTTACATAGACTTAACCGTAATCTTACAAGGGCAAATCCTAGGAACACATTCACCAGGAAGTAATAAAAATATTCTATGGTATTGCATCATTTATTTATTAACGTTTTTATTAATTAGAAAAGTAAATTCACTCACTACTAACGACGCGACGTAAAAGTTCGCCGTTTTCGGCTTTTCCTCCGATGAACCAGTCATGATCAGAAATTATATTTATCTGTTTAAACAAATCTTCAACTTTTTCCTATAACCTCTTACATAATATACTAAAGTTATTAAATAAATAGGTATTAAAAAACACGAATAATTACTACATATTATCAATCACTAACACCGTAACACATTAAAAATTCAGGTTTTTTATTCATAAAATGTAAGTTTTTTTTTATAAATATTACAATTTCAAATTCGTTGTTATGACATTTACCACGGGGTGACCCTTTTATAAAGTGTTCAACAATTAATTTTATGGGTGACCAGTTTAAAATTAAATTTTCTACCTAAAATAAAACGTATTAATTACCCCTTTCTTTACTAGGAGCCGTCAGAAATCCCAATATCTACAAAAGTTTTAAACATCTACTTATGAGTGTGCCGGTAAAACACAACAAAATAGTTGTAAATTCAGAACAGTGTCTCAAAAATTACCCAAATAGTAATAAGTACATAACAGGGTCACACATAAAACTGTTGCTATGTTTATTTAAGTCTATCTCGGAGATTCACAAATTATCTATATTATCATCAAATAATAAAAAAAAATCGTCCTTATCAGATAGCGCAATATGTTGCAATTTAATACGTAACATTTAAGTACTGAGAATGAACGTTGGCCTATATTTTGAACAGAAATCTCAAATATCTTAAATATAACATGATACTTATATTAGTAGATAGGTAGGGTCCATTAACTACATATTTGTAGAGATCAGAGTAATGGATCTTTTACTCTGCAATCAAAACTAAATATAAACAAACTTTTTGTTGCTAGGCGATGTTTAAACATCGATTGACATAATTTTATAATTTGTAGATCTCGCTTTTTGTAATATAACAAAACTAAAATGCCCAAAGCGTTGAGAAATTATCACGAGGGTATTCCCTACCATAAAGTACATAAAGGCAGTGACCCAGGTTGCTACCAGCTTCATCGGTAAGAACAAGTAATTATATTTTTTGCCTATAATAACCAAAAGAGATTTATTAAAGTTGATATTATCAGACCTTCAGAATGCCGTCTAAAATTTCCAATCACGAATAAACCGATTCACAAATGCGAAATACCCAAGAAACAATACACGCGGGTCCCGAATGGCGAGAGTTGGAGGAACTTGATAATTCCCAAAACTGAACCCAACTATTACCCCGCCGTCATGCACAAGTCAGAGTTCGAGAGGCTGAAGAAACAAGCCAAGGTATTAAAGCTTTCTTAATTTCGGTTGGATCATACTTCATACTTACTAATATTATAAATGCGAAAGTTTAGATGGATGGATGTTTGTTAGAGTTTGTAGCCTAAACGGCTGAACGGATCTCTACGAAATTTGGTATAGATGTAGATAATATTCTGTAAGAACACATAGAGTACTTAATTTTTTTTTATTCCACTCGGTTGGAGTCACGGGCGAAAGCTAGTATGACATATTTAAATTAACTAGTAGGTAGTCATATGCGTAAGTTTGTATGATGCAATATTAGTCATCATATCGTTATGGAAATCTAATCTTAATACGAAGAACGTCGATTTACATGAAAAAAAAATGAAAAAAGAAATTCATCTTATTTAATTAATAAAATAATTAAGTGACACATCTTCACAGCATCCCATTACAATATTAAAATAATATAGCTAGCCAACAATAATTTATATTATAGTAATAAATAAAATACTGTTCTTAACAGATAGTAAGTCAAGAGGAACAATTGAAAGCGATGCACGAACAGGAAGCAGCGATACAGAAAGCGGCGAAAGAGTCTGAGGAACGCAAGCAGCTGTTGAAGGAGAAGTTGCTGCCGCAGCCGGGAGCGCAGGTCGCAGCCGGCGCCGCGGACCTCGAGCTTGAGGGACCGGATCAGACTGCCCATACTTTGTCCAGGGCGGAGAGTGAGTTTCCCAAGAAATGAAATCTTGGCCTAGTTACATCTAGTTAAACAGTTTTATCCTTACAAGAGATCAGAAATTCTCCTCTAAAAATATTATGTAGTGATAATAATAATAATAATAATAAAGTCATTTAATCCATTCAGAAGGCAAACATCATACACTTAATTACACAGTTGACAAAAATAATGACGGAGGAAACGAAAGTTTTACAAACAACAACAAAATATATACAAATACACAATAATAAAGCATCAATCAAAAAAAATCATAACCTTTAATATTTTTTTTAACTAAGTTTGCTATGCTGAATGGATAAGGCCTTTACTCAGCTATGTGCTTATTACAGTATAGCAATAAGCGTTTGTATTCTGTAAAAGCCTTTTGTGGCAGTACGTCAGTTGCAGCATTAAATAAATAAAAAAAAAAAAAAATATGGTCATGTTTATAAGTGAAATGGAAAAGAGAGGGAAAATAAAATAAAGCTGATATTGATATACTAACGAAAGTCGATGTAATGTGTGTGTAGTTCTGAAAGCGGATAACATGCTGGGGCCGCGGCTTTGCAACCGCATCATCTTAGCCTCCAAATGCCACGCCATCCGCGACGCGCAGATCGCTGAGAAAGATCTCATTAAGAAGGAGCTAACGGAAGAGGAGAGAAGGTTAGCAAACAAATGATGTGCTATTTTTAAAAGTACGCTAATGCTGTCTGTTTCCTTCAAAGATAATCATTATAGCAATATTGTAGTACAAGTGTTAAGATCGGAGATTCTCTTTATCGATTTTACATTATTATCAGACTGGATGCGATAATGGAGGAAAACCGTCAGGCGGCGGTGCGTCGCGCGGAGCAGGATGAGGAACGCCGACACCAGCTGCGGCTGCAGAACCTCGCCGCACTCAAGGAGCAGATACAAGCGCATGACACCGCCAAGGTAACACACAAACAATATTTTAACTAAAATACTAGTAAACCAGAGATAGCCGATCTAACCGTGTAGACTATAACGTTTATTTATCTTTTAGATAATGGAAGCGGAACGCATAGAGGAAGAGAGCATAAGAGTGAACCAGGCCAACATCGCGATGAGGATCGACGAAGCGCAAAAGCTGAAAGAAAAGCACATGCGCCAAGCAAAGCTGAAGGAAATACTCGACCAAGGTAATAAGAAGAACAATGACTTCTACTACATTTTATAGACTGTTATATAATATTTCAGCAACAGTATATTAGTAACTTGATTTATAGGTAACGCGGAACTATTATACTTCAAGCAACTTCAGAACGAAGAAGAGCGTATCCTCAATTTGCGTATTTCAAACTTTCTCAAGAGTCGTCAAGAGCGCGAGTCGCGCGCGCGCGCTGAGGCGGAGGCCGTCAAAGCCGCTAAGCAGAAAGGGATTGATCATATCGCTAAAGCACAGAAGGTAAAAGCCTTATATACTATACGTTACGAGACAAGTTTGGTCCAATTATTTTTACGTATCTCATCAATCTTACTTTTTACTAATATTGTAAATGCGAAAGTTCAAAGGTATGGATGGATGTTTCTTAGAGTTTGTAGCCTAAATGGCGTAACGAAAGGATGGTCTGGATGGAACACATAGGCTACTAACGATTATTTTTTTTAATTACACGCGGACGGAGTCGCAAGCCAAACCTAGTCTTTCATAATTAATTAAATCAACCAATTAACACGTGATCGCTGTATGTAACAAAGTCTCTCTAGTGTTCTTCAGAGAACGTCTGTTTATGTATCTTATTGTAAGCATTGGTTCCCAGGCGGAACAAGAGCTGAAGGAGGAATTGGAGAGGATCAGGAACCTGAAGATCCAGGAGGACGTGGAGAGGGAGTACCGGCGCAAAGAGCGTGACGCCGCCATCAAGAGGAACCGCGACATGAAGCAACTGCACGAGGCCAGAGTGCAGCAGGTCAGTACCAATATGGCTAAAAGAACAACTAAGATTCTTAATATGGTTATTTATGAGTTTCCAGGCTGAAAATCACTGAAACCAGCTACAAATATACCCTATACATGGAAAATACTGTGGTTCGTGTTAACTCTGCATAAGTTTATTCTAGATCCACGACATCCATCGTCTGATAGCACGAGAGATCGCGAAAGACGAGCAGAGCTTCAACAACGCGGCTAGACAGAACGAAGAATTCCTGCGTAAGGAGAAAATGGTAACAGACCAACGTATTCCAACGATTAGTACATTTTCTTATTTGTGTGTGCATGACGCTTGATCGAATACAAGATAAAATTAACCCGGTTACCGGTAATTGAATGTTTTTGCTGTTATAGTTGGATGAGCAGCGCAAAGCGCGCGTCGAACGGCACCGTCAGGAGATTATGAAGCAAATTAATGACAAAGAACGCGCCAGGTAAGGTTTAAATACTCCAAGAAATATTTAACGAGATATTATGTGGTTTTTATTGATATATTGGTTAAATTACTGTGTTGTTCCTTAAAATTGTGTAATAATCGTTTACTTTCCTTTTTATAGAACGGAGTTGAGAGAGAAGATCCGTAACGAAGGCGTCGCGCTGCGCATGGAGCAAGATCAGCAAGAGAAATACGAAAGGAAAATCATTAAGCAGAAGGTAAATGTTGCCATATTCAATTTTTTCTACCACTTTCTACCGTTTTTAAAGCTGTCAGTTTAACGAATTAGCAATTTGAAAAATTATATGATTCCCATACGTGCAAGCCTTGGGCATTCACCAAAGTATCGAATCACTGCTCTTGGATGAAAAAGCGGATGGCGTTTTAATTGTTATACGACAGCAAGGCTTAAAAAAAATTAATTTTATCAACATAAGTGTGTTCATTTTCTCATAAACATACTTTTATATTGAAATTAGTTAGTTTTATGGTTTTAAAAGTGAATATTTTGACTTTGTAGGTGGCGGCTATGAGACAACAAAAGGTGGCCGAAAAATACGTCAAAGAAGTTGAACAAACTCTCTGCAAACAAGGATACTAAAGCAACCAACAGACAAACCAAGAGAAATTATGATACGAATTTTTTATTATTGTTTAATTATTGATTTGGTAAATTATAGAATAAAACGAAAAATTACAAATTGAATCATTTATTTACATATCTTAACAATTCAATACATTTAAGTCAATTTCTACTAAAAAGTCAGCCATAACAATAATAATTGATATAAAAATGTCAGTTAAATATAGACAGACAGATCAAACATAAACAGTCCACACTTTTACTAATAAATGTAAAATTTTGTATGTACCCACACAACTCCAAAATGAACAGATCTGAACAAAATTTGTACCAGAGACAGTAAAAGGACATAGACAAATATTTTTATTTTTATTTCAGTCATGGGCAAAATAAAAATTAATGTTACATCAAAATTCAAACATATATTTCATACTCCAATACCTGGCCAAGTGAGAACTGGATAAGAAGCCTCTTAGTTATTGTACAGTGTTAAGAAACCTCTAGAAGCAAAACCAAGAGTTTTTTACTTATGCTATTACGGCTTTTGCCTGCTTTTTATGGACAAAGATGTCATTTGGACTCTTGCTTGTCCAGTAAAAACTATAATACTAAACTTTGGATGTATGGATGTTTGTACTTATTACCAAAACTTACCAAATCTTGACAAAATTTGTCACAATTGACACATATTAAATTAAACACCACATGAATATTATTTCATAATAAAACCACTGAAATGAGTCCCTTCAAACACTAATCACTTGTCAATGGTCTTCTCTCCGAGTTCCACCACCTTCACCAGGTTATCCTTGAGGGTCTTCAGCTGGCTGAGGAGGTGGGAGTCCATCAGGGAGAATGGTATGAAAGCCTGAGATTGCCGCAGCTGCCTCGGCTGCAGGGACAGCATTGTGCCATCTTTCAGCATTATATTGCAGCTTGCTTTCTCATCTTGTTGCATACTGAAAATAAAAACATTTATTAATTACAAGAAAAAGCAATTATAATCTATTTATGTCAAAAATTATAATAATATATTTAAATCCATCCTTTCCATATAAAAAAAAAAAACATACAGACATATTGAGAACTACCTCCTTTTGGAAGTCAGGCTAAAAAGAGTGGAAAGAGAAAGGTACTAAAATCAGGCCTCCAATACACACAATCATTAGACTATATGTGGAATTGTTCCTACTTCACGGCTGTCTTCTGTGTGGTAGTATTGCACTTGCACAGCTGCACAAATCTTTGTGTGTGTGATAATATTAGTCCTGAACCTTTGTATGGATATTGATACATACGCGTACACGGAGGGCACCAGCACGGGGGAGCCCGACATGGAGACCACCATCTCTCCCTGGCGCGGCTGACGCAGCACCGTCAGCGGCGTGTGCGGCGCCACCTGCACACATCATTCACATCTATACTATTATAAAACTTGCAAACATTTCTCATTAACAGCTTTACAAATAAACGCGGTATTTATACCGAATTAGGAATAAACCGAGTATAAGCAAAATTTGTACTAATATTTGCTTATACTCCGTTTATTCCTAAGTTTAACTTTATATCGCGTTATTTGTAAGGCTGTAAATCGACAAATCTATTTATTTCCATAAACTCCAATAGCTGGCATACTTGCATGTAAGTTAAACGCACATGCGAGGAATAGATATGTATGCTGGCATGCCAGTGAACCAATTATCCGGCACACTTGGCCAGTACTGTGAGACAGCAGCGCTCAACAAGTCTGTCAATCAAGTGGCACATTGTGATGCTAACTGGCGCCAGTGAGTCCATACAATCTATGACCCGGACGGACTGGCCAAGTATGGACCGCGCATTGTCGTGCTCGCTACTGACATTAAAGAATTAAAATTTAAGCAATATTGAACTAGCTTACAAGTATTTTGAACACAATATATGTATTATACGAATTAAAGACGGCTCAATTCAAGTTTAATTTTTTTATTTTAAGGTGGGAAACGAATTGAATTCGCGCACCTGAATTTGCCAAGAAAGCGAACCGATAGTTGTCCATATACATACGATATTTCAGATACGTTGCCTACCCTTATTCAACGGAGGAGACGTACAAGAGGATATTACCCCTTCGTAAGCGTCTTGTCCACCGTCAAATCCACTCTCCCTCCCCATCTTTTCGTATAAGAAAATAGTGGGAACGAAAAGGGACTAAAGTGGGACCTCCGGCACTGTACGCGGAATTATTTCCACTTCACGCCTGTCTTCTGTGTGGTCGTGGTATTGCTGGGGGCGAGCCCAACAGTGCGAAGATGTTAAAGCAGGCTCTACCACTGTTTGATCTCTGACTAGTTTCGAATCCATCTAACCATCACTGGAATGTTCCATGAAAGTAACAGTTTAATATTTAAGCACCAATAGCCAATGGTTTGGGGTACGGACTACCGATTTTGCGGTCGATGGTTCGAATCCCGCCATTCGTCTGACGTCCGATGTCGAATCATATCCTAGCACTAGCCTAGAGCTTAGTGGAAATGGTTAAAGGAAAAATATCAGTAAATTAATAAAAATCTACTAATCTTTAAAAAGGCCGAAGTATACCTTAGGTGTAATAGCGGGATAGTTGTTAGGATTCTTGTTGTACATAGGCGTCCTGTACACGGAGCGGGAGCGGCTCTGCGTCTTGCTGGCGGTGTGCGCGCGGCTCGCGTCCGCAGACCGCGACCTGCGCGCCGTCTTACGTGCTAACGTGCTCGGAGGACCTGCGGATTACATTACTTTAAAATAACAATACTTAGGGCCTGTCCCACCAATGGCTAGAGGCTCAGAAAGCTAAGTGACGTCACAGATAGAGTGCCAAAATCCGATACTTCCATCACATATTTTATACATATGTTGGATTGTTATCTGACAGTTTACAAGAATTGTGGGACAGGCTGTAAATGTTACAATTAAATTAGCTGTTAGAACACCCTGTATCAACAAGCTTTGATTACTTAAATTATTCATGAACAAGTTAAAAAGAAAATCATTTTGTTTTATCAATGAAAAATCTATTATATTTGACTAAATACAAATGTATATAAAATATATTACTTATGGAGCTGACGGTGTACAGTTTTATACAAACAGAACACATAAAACCTTTTATAAAGTCATAGTTAAGAACATTTTTAAAACCAAATACTTAACAATCTATCATTACTTAATTTAAGCTTTGTTGTATTATTTGTGCAAAAGTATTAAATAAAAAAGTAAATAAATACTTTTTACAGCTTAAGCAGTCAACGAAATTCGCCATAATAGCGAACATTTCAACCTTTAATCAACAGATGAGACATACAGAAATAGGATATTTCCCCTACCTATGCATCCACTTTTTTGGATTACACAAAACTGACCCTTTCCATCCAATCTTTACAATAAGAATGTGGGAAGAGGACTACCAAGGTTTCTAAAAATGGCTTTATTATTATGGATTTAGGCCTAGAAAGAGATAGATGGAATGCGTAAAAGGTGACATGATCAAAGGAGTGACAGAGATGACGGAACATACCTTAACCTGGAGAACGGAAACCTATCTGCTATGGGAGTAGGATAAAAAGATAGAAGTTTAAAGCATAGATAGCAACTTACCCAATGGTTTCTTGCTCTTTCTTTCTCCGGAATCATGGGCAGAGTTTTCAGTGAGGTAGCCTGCCCCAAAAAGCCCAGTTAGTTGAAAATTGTGCTATGATGTTAGTTGTGCATCATTAAATGACAAAATAATGATAAATTATCAAACGACAAAATA